CGAAGCCGCACCCACAGCAGGGGCGGGAAGCGCAGCAGCTCCTTGCTGGGGGGGGTCCAGTCCCGGTACACCACCTGCAGCACCTCATCGTCCAAGGACAAGACGTCTTTCAGCTCCGCCTCCGAGAGACCATGCCTGTGGGGAGGCCAGACGGGCTTGGATCACCTGGGACTTGTGCACGGAGGACGTGAAAGTCAGGAAAGGGAGACAGGCACCCCGACTGGGCGCCCCCACAGGCCCGGGATCAGCATTTGGGAGTTCCCCGGCAGGCACCAGGCCCCCGGGGCTGACCCACCTAGCCATCTCCTCTCTGTGCACATCTGTCCCCTGCTGGGGGCAGCCTGAGACCCAGCCCAGGGAGGGAGGAAGCGGTAACTCAGGAATTAACGCAGGAAACAACCGCTCCCGTTCCAACCCACCCCGGTCTTTCCTGGCCTAAGAAAAGGCCAGTCTCACCGTTTGGATCTGGAATGTCCTCTAAAGTGTCCATGCTGAAGGCTTGCAGCAAACTGAGGGGCCTGGGGGGCAGCGACTGGCTCCTGGGAGCTTTGGCCTCATCCGTGGACTAACCCACTGATGGACTCCTACTTTGGTGGCATTACTGGGAGGTGGTGCTTAGTAGGAGGACGAGGTCACCAGGGTCAAGCTCTGGAAGGCACATCCTGTCCCCACCGTTCCTCCGTCTCTGCTTCATGGTCACCACTACACCCTTCCGCCACGATGCTCTGCCTCACCTCAGGGCCAGAGCCACAGAGCCAGCGGACCCCACACCGGAGCCTCTGGGACCAGGGGCCAACCTTCCCTCCTCCACGTTGTCGCGGGATGAAGGCTAACTGATCCACCGAGTTAGAGGCAGGGCCATCTTTCAGGGGGCTGAGAAGATGAGTTCGGGGGCTAGAATTAGAGCAGGGGTTCCGAGTGACAGACGGGAGCGACCGCAGGATCTGCCAGAAGTTTCCTCAGGGATGGAAACGATCGCATGGAGGTCATGTCTCGGAGCAGGGGACGGAGGTGGTGTTTTTCTGTTTGCACCACGGGGTGTGGGGATCGCCCACGAAGGGTCAGCACGTTGGTTCAACAACCATTGATGGAGCATCGGCTGGTTGGAGGCACTGATCTCCCAGGGACAGAGAGCTAGACACTGGTGGTAACCCATTTTCTGTGGCCAATAACATGAGACCACAGACTGAGTACCTTGTTTAAAAAAAAAAAAAAAACCCACAGCTGTCATCCCAGCGACTCGGGAGGCTGAGGTAGGAGGATCGCAAGTTCAAAGCCAGCCTCAGCAACTTAGAGAGCCCTTAGCAACTTCATGTATCAGGATGAAATATACAGGGCTGGGGATGTTGCTTGGTGGTTAAGCGCCCCTGGGTTCCATCCCCAGTGTCAAAAAAAAAAAAAAAAA